AGGACGAACGTACCGCAAATACCGAGTAAAACGAACGTGCTCTTAAGAGGCTTGGCAGCAGAGGTGGTTGGTAGGGGGGGGGGGCGCCTACTACTACTACTACTACTACTACTACTACTACTACTACTCTGCCTACTCTGCCTACTCTGCCTACTCCTACTACTACTACTACTACTACTACTACTACTCTGCCTACTCTGCCTACTCCTACTACTCCTGCTACTCCTGCTACTCCCACTGGTATTGCCACTGCTACTGTACATGCTACTGCTTTTCCTACAGTTTACTCCTACCCCGACTGCTACTGCGACTACGACTGCGACTGCTACTGCTACTGCTACTACGACGACGAGGCCCAACCTACACAAACACTTTCTGCACGCCGCGGCCAAAATACCCTGAGATGCAAATTGATGTCCTCACACACGCAGCCATCAAAGTGTGTTTTCTAAGCTGCAGCTTGCTCCCCTTCTACACGACTCCCGGTACACATGTGGAATGCCATACCCCTGCAACCTTGGTGGCTGACTCGGAGCCAGTGGTAGGTACCTTCTCTCCCTAGGCATTCGCTCTTCCACGGATACCCAAGTCGTGGTCGAGTGGTCGCTGGATCGGTCGAAGGAGCTCTTTATCATTGTGAAGTTTTTTAGGGGTGCATTTTGAAGCTGGTAGGTCTTGTCTGCAGGCCGATGTCATGATGTTCGTCACTGTGTTGTGAGCACTTTGTCTAGAAGCGCTGTCAGGATGATTGCCGCGATCATCACGTGTGTAATGGTTGTGATCATAGTTATCACTGTTAGTATTATTGCCATGAATACTGTCATGGTTCCGCTTCCTGTGCTTCCCTGTATTGTAACCTCTACTACTCCTGGATGCTTCATTTTCGAAGGAGATAAAGGCGAAGCCGACTTGAAACGAATACCGCGACTATGCGCATACTACTCAGGAACAGTATCTGTAATCACATTCGTGAAGTTCCAGAACAAGCTCTGTACACCTTGTGGCACTCCCTGAAACTGCACGGGCAAGACAGGAAGTGACCCTCGGAACAGCGCATGTCCATCGAGTCACCCAAGCCAGATTTGTCCGATCTCGGTTGTAGTGAGGGCGCCAGGCCACACCCTCACGCCGATTTTGATGCAGGAGCGTGGAGCTTATCACACCGGCTACTACTTCTACGTGTCCGTGGACGGAACGACATGGCCGAACGAGGACAGCAAAGGGTGCTTTCGATATATGGCTTCAGGGTTCTTGGTGACGGTCAAAAGGCTCCTTTTGATCTCCAAGCAGGCTTATATCCCCACGTAGAGGGCTGCAGTGCTCATCTCCAGTAATCAGCTGCCAGTGGGGATGTGCCTCATGCTGCTTCCTCCCCAAGTATGACCAACTCCGGAACCTCCCAAGGAGCCCTTTAGAGGGGCACTATCGTTGTGTCTCGCAAGTGCCTAAGCAAACCTTGGAAGTTCTGGGCAATCCGCAAGTTCCAAAACCATCGCTGCGCCTTCCGACCATGTTCTTGTCGGGAGGACACTGGCTACGTCGCCACATGGCAGGATGAACAGACCACGGAGCGGCTTTGCCTTGTTTTGAGTCTGGCGGGGTATTTGAGAGTTTCTGATTTATGGTTGATCGCAAGATGAAGTATAAATAGCAAGGACTGTAAGATGTAGACTAGAGTGACTAAAGTTCTAAAGCATGCCAACAAAGCCGCAGTGGTTAGCAGTCGTCGCAGTCGTTGTCGTCGTCGTCGTCGTCGTAGTAGCAGTGTTGGTCGCGGTGATCGCTGTCATGAGGGTGGTCGCAGTCGTAGTCGTGGTGCGGCTGCCGGCGATCGTCGTCTTGGTCGTCATGCACAAGTTTAGCGAAAGTGTGTTCTGCGTGTTTGCTCTTCTTGGAACCTGAGGATGTGAGCTCGGTAACAGTGTCACAAACGCTGGGATTTCCATCAGTCTTGGAGTAAAGGCTTTTGGCTTCAGACAAGAGCGACTTCTTGCTGTAGCGAGCGCCCAGCTTTGCAAACCAAACAGAACAGCTCAGCTGGGAGTCAGATTCCCGGTCCTGTGCTAGAGGAATGGGGGGTTCAGAACCTTGGTTGCAACCCCGAGACCGTATTAGGCCGTGGGAGCTTCAGTGACCCTTAATCACAACTTGGCCCTTAGCTAGATGTTCTTATGGTCAGCCATTTCGTGTAGAGCGTTCAAAGAGATGACCGATGAATCTGATATCAACTAGTTATGAAGCAGCATAGCAGGTAAAAGTCCAGAAAGCACTATCATCTATTCTCAAGAGCTCTTTGTGGCAGTACTTGTGGCATCCACTCAAGCCCTAGATCTTGTAAACATACTCAACCCTGAGCCCCAAACTTTGTACCCTGAGCCGTACACCCTCAACCCCAACTCCGCTTGGAGCCTAAATCCCGTCAAAGGTACACCATGGACTGCACGCTTACGGCTTTCCTCTCCGGTCAGAGCCGGACGAAGCAGGTTTTGTGGTTCAAGGCGTGTTCGAAGCTTGTTGTGACCGGAGATTGCGCTCTTCATGGTCTTGGGTTTTGGGTTGCCCTTTTGTCGCACCATGCCAGGGAGCACTGGGATCTGTATGTATATGTAAACATGCATATATACATCTGCACGCATATATGTACAGACAGAGAGCTAGACAGACAGGCAGATAGATAGGTAGGCTGGGGCTGTTTCAGTGTCAGCTTGGACTTCCAGTCGCGTGAAAAAATTAGTAGTCTGGAACTCCAGAAAAGTCCTATTAGCTAAGCCTGAAACCCCAAAGCTCAAACCCGAGCCGCAGAAGGCCGTCTCAAGCCCGGCGAGTCTCACTGCTATCAGGAAGCCAGAAAGTTCCGGTCTTGCCATAACATCTCACACCGTCCCCCCAACAGATTTTACACCCCAGCATCCCGAACCGGCTGTCAGCAGGCTTTCTGACTGAAGCACAGACCTTCCAACTGAACCCTTCTATGAAGCGGCCCCTGCTTGGAAGCTCCTGAAGTCCTGAACCGCGAAAATCTGAGACGGAAGGCATTCAGGAAAGCGCCACAATCCTCAAACCCTAAACCCTAGACCTCAGAGTCAGACAGAGTACCGGCACGCAGGTGGCCGCGCGGAGTGCTGCGGGACGAGGCACCTGTGGAACCCCAAGACCACGTGAGGCAATGTTCTGCTTGCACTCCTTTCCTGCTTTATTCCCTATCTTGAGCCGTATGACCTAAAGGGTCCAAGTGCCATTATAGTAGGTCCTTAGTAGGTGTTTGGGCCCCAAAAGTATATACTATACTATTACGTGGACCCTTTGGCAAAGTCTATGCGTTTTCTACTTGCACTCCTCTCCTGCTTTAACTCCTTTCTTGCTTTATTCCCTATCTTGAACCTTATAATTAAGCCCCATGACGTCTATGCGTTTTCGTGGAAGTTAGCGGGAGGTCCGCTCTCCACAGCCATCTCACAGCGCTGCTCGTCGCCGCCGTCGGCGCCACAGAATTTGTCCCTTGGGCTCGGGAGCTACCTATAGACCTATATTCTCCATGGTAGTTCCTTTTT